GAAGGAGCAGAACGGAGCAGGGGAGGAAACCAGACCTAACTGGGGAAGGGTCACACACACTAAAGGAGACTAAGGCCTAGTCCACACGTAGCCGGGTTTGTTTAAAAACGAATATCCGCCCCTCCAAAAACTTGAATCCACACCACCTCGTTTTAAAAAAACTGTCCACACGTACCCGGATAAATACGTTAAGGCCATGCCAGACCTGTAGGCGGCAGTACTTCCCCCGTTCTTAATCTCGTCCTTCGTCTGTGGTCTTCTGCAAGGAGCAGTAATTCCACTTGCAAAAACAAACAAGTAAAAAGCGCTTGGACAATTGGTAAAGCGAGCGCAGCTCTGAGGGAATCCATGCTGTCGGCTAGTGTAAACACAGGTCGCACACGTGATGTCAGCATTTTTTTGTCGCGGAAAGTGACGTTGCGGACCTTAAAACTCCGGTTTTGTCTGTCCACACGCAGACACCCAAAACGGAGAAAACGCAGATCTTCACTTTGGCCGGAGTTTTTAAAAAGATCCGTTTTCGTGTGAAAAAACTCCGTTTTCGTGTGGATGACAGGCCAAAACATAGAAAAATATCTACATTTTGGCAGATCCCCGGCTACGTGTGGACAGGGCCTAAGGAAAGGAGACTAAGAAACTGTAAAAATAAACCTATAGAAACTACAGTGGGGAGATAAGAGAACATGAGGAAAACCTGGAGGGGGCTGGGGACCAAAGGGACAGAGAACATGACACCAGCAGGCAACATGGGTTAAGTGTCTTGCCCAAGGACACAACGACAGTGACAGACTGAGCAGGGCTCGAACCTGCAACCTTCCGATTACGGGGCGAGCACTTAACTCCTGAGCCACCGTCGCCTACGTCTTGTTTCCCTTGTAATGGGCAGAATCAAACCCAGTTATTTTCTCTGGGTGGAGGGCTGGAAATCCTGCCACCCAGGTGGTTATTTGTCCCACTGGTGGACTTTACGTAGGTGATGACAACCTAAAGGCTTGTGTTAGGAGAAAATAGCCAGTTTTTGTGGAAGTTGTGTGCATAAGGAACACTGTGCAAAAAATCGTGTTTTCTCTAGAGACTTCGGATCACAAGACAGCATTTGATTTGAAAAAAATCTGCTTTCTATCGTTTTTTAAATGAAGAAAAACGCAGCCAGGATTTGAATCATTTCTTAATCAAATTATTGACGAAGGAGCGAGGGTATTATCTCTGCACTTTCCCCTGACAGCTGCTTGTGTCCAGTATGTTGTCATTTTCCTGGGCTCTGACCTTTTTTCATGCTTGCTTATATTCATCACTCCTCTATGGAAATGTTGCTTTGCTTCTTTGTCCAAAAAACAATGAAGATCTGAAAAAAAGGTGCTGAAAGACAGAGATGGGCGATGAAAGACGCTTGAAAACACACCATATCTGCACTTCTGCAGAAATGAGACGGCAGAGGAAAATCCCTACAAGATGGAACCTGCTCCAGTGCTAATCCACTCATTTTTCATGGTTTTAATCAGCAAGTCGAGCTAAAAAGAATAAAAGAAAAAACACAGCAGATGGGAAATAAAAAACCCAATGTGCGGTAGATCATTTGTTTATTTAAAATGTTTTGACTGAATGGAAAATTTTCAAAAGTTGTCTTTTTCATTTCACAAAGGCTTAAAAGTTTTACCTTGTAGCAAAAACAACTAATCAGACTTTCCATTTGAGGAGAATTAACAGAAACAGCCTGAGTTGCATGTTTTGTTTGCCTCTCTTCTTGTGCAGCACTTTGGACAGCTGCCATGCTGGTTTTTAAATGTGTTTCAGAAATAAAACTGGTATGGCGTGGATGAAATAAAGAACCCACCAACAGGCAGGAGGATGCTGAATGCTAATTTTATTGACTAAATAGAAAACAAATGGGATGCCATGTCACAAAAGTAAGAATCTGAGCAACACATGGCAGAAACTGACCGTGCACATGTAAAGAAAAACAAAAGGTTGGAAAAGAAAAACCTAAAACTCTGGTATTTATCTACTGAAGGAGCTGAAGACTAACAGGAGCAGGTTTGATTACTAACGGAGACCAGGTGAGGGAGAAACAGCACAAAGACAGGAGCAGCAGTAAATCTCCACTAAATGTTGTTTAAGGCAATCGACACGTGACAACCTCAGTCGATACAGATGTTTATAATGCAGTTGTTTCACGCTGGCGGGATGTGAGTCCTAATCCTGGAGTTAGGAAGATATTTGAGATGTTATCCAGGTTTTTGTATTTCCATTTCAAAAACCCAAAAGGGGAATCAGATGGACGTTGAGCCTTTTGCCAACAGGACACATGGTCACTGATGGAAATGTTGGGTAATGCACAACTTGGTTAGACCTCCATACAATAGCGATTTGGTGTCTTTAAAGAGCAAGTCACCCACAAATCAACTTTTTTTCTGATAAACTACAGTGATCCCTCGTTTATCGCGGTAGATGCGTTCCAGACCTGGCCGCGATAGGTGAAAATCCACGAAGTAGGGACACCATATTTACAGTACAGTGTCAGAACCCAAGTTCCCAGGCCAGCCTCTTCCAGCTAGCCGGCCTCCACCATGGACCACAACTCCCAGCATGCCCCTCGCGGGGATTCCCTCCACGTCGCATCTACGTCACAAACCGCGGCTATAAACGGAAGTCGCCTTTCCAGCTCACCACTCAGTCATCGTTTCTTCAGATTCATGATCAGAGTTTCCAACCTACCGATCCATCCCACGAACTATCAGCTCATAGTAAGTTATCTTACTTACTTCTGGAAAGCCCGCATTTCCGTGTCACTTCGTTGACGCTCGAACGCTCGGGGGTTTCTTAGATTAAATCGTGAGCCGGCGTTTTACCGACACTCTCACTTCCGCGTCTGTGAAACCACGCGCTCCCTACAAGCTCAACTCCCGAATCCAGCCGACCAGTCTGACATACAGTACTATATTGAATTATCGTATGATCACATTCTCTTTTTGTGGGTAAAACTCAAGAAAAAAAATTTTTTACTTGGTTTTTTTATAGTTTTTTTACAAAAAGTGCATTTTATGATGAAATTGATGAAAAAAAAACAGGAATTTCTTGATATTTCGCATAGAAAAATACCGCGAATCAGCGAATTTCCCTTGAATAAGGCTCCAAAGAAAAAATCCGCGAAGTCGTGAATCCGCGATTAACGAGCCGCGAAGTAGCGAGGGATCACTGTATATAAATGTGTGTCTAATCGTGCTGCAGACACGTGTAGTCAATAGTTTTGCACTTTAGTGCATTTTAGTTAAAATTTTTATTTTCTGCCTAAAACTGTCAGTGTTGTGCCAGGTAAAAACTCTGCACTGCATTTGAATTTAAATCTGCCATCGCTATTGGCTAAGAGGTACCCTAGAACATTAGCTGGTACCATGTGATGTCACAATGTCGTTGTGAGCCTGTGTGTGTGTGTGTGTGTGTGTGTGTGTGTGTGTGTGTGTGTGTGTGTGTGTGTGTGTGTGTGTGTGTGTGTGTGTGTGTGTGTGTGTGTGTGTGTGTGTGTGTGTGTGTGTGTGTGTGTGTGTGTGTGTGTGTGCATTTGTTAGCGGCTCCGCCCTCTTGGTCTGCTAGGCAACAGCATTTGTTGCTTTTTCAAACAGGAAGTGGGAGTGGAGTAATAACTGGTAGGGGGTGACTTGTTCTTTAAATCCTTTTCGGCACTGAAGGATTCCAGGAAGAATGATTCATGAAATCAAGTTCATTAAAAATGCCTCATTTTGAGCCGATGAAACATTTATGAGTCCAGTTCCCCTTTTTGAAAGTTAAGAACAAGTTGTTTCGGGTTTCCTGTGAATTAAAATTAAACTGCTTTGATTCTGATCAGCAGTTTCTGATTAACACTCGGTGCTGTCGTTCACTCCCAGCGACGCGTTCCACTCAAGTTCTCCTAACTTCTATATTTTACCTCCAACAGCCCAAAGCTCCTCTGAATGTTGCCTTCTCTTGGTGTGAGGATGTTCAGCATCATCGTCACGAGCACACTCGTCCACTGAGCTGGACACTTTATGTCTGGTATGTTTCTAGAAAGTCAAATAAATAAAAAAATCACTCCAAAGTGTTTATAGTCATCCATCTTTATAGTGCAGGTTTTACTGGAGATTAACAATGCTGCCAATCTCAAATGAGCTAAAGATGTGTATTTCTAAAATGTAAAATGTGCATGCTGGTGATCATGTAATAAACTTCCTAAATAGGTTGGGCAGTGTCACTATCCGTTACAAGAAAGCTCCAATGCTGCTTCAAGGGAGGATAACTTGATCTGTGGGAAACTTAGAGAATAAGCGCTATCATCTCAATCTGAAAAGTTAAATAAATGTAAACACAAATTAGTTGTTGCAGAATCCCAGTGAAATTTTAAGAAACCTGGGATTAGGGTTATCCACTAAAAGGCAATAAAAGTAGCCCTGAGCCCTAAAACAAATGCTTTTGGTTAGGATGTTTGCCAAGTTCTCCACTGTTGGCTGTCTTTGGAGAAGATTCTTCTACCTCCGTCTTTGACACACACACACCTCCAGCAGATTCAGGTTCATAAAAGCAAACTAATCTGATCAGAATAAAGGAAACAATACTGATGTCTACCTGAGTAGAGGCATGGTTTTGATATCTAAGATTAAAAAGTTTTTTTTTCCTTTACTGTGAATGAATGACTGGAAGAAGGAGAGAGCGTTTCTCTGTCATTCTCGTCTGCAGAGTTCCACAGGACCTATCATTACCAGATGTCACACAGAAGGTGGCCGCTGGCCAAAACACTGCCTATCTCCTAAAAACTCCAGATCTCTGCTTCTTTTTCCTCCTCTCCCGCCTTCTCTCTCCCATTCTCTCCTTCCTAACTCGCCCTTTCTCCTTTTCCCTCTCACACTCTCAGATATTTTCTTTCTTTTCCTCCCCCTCTTCTCCACTTCCAGCTGTTTTTGGCGCAGGCGGCGAGAACGAGTGGAGTTCTCCACCAATTGTCTCGGTCCGGAGAGGAGCTTGGTGGTTGGACCCCACCCCCCTGCTGTCTCTCCCCTCTCTGCGCCCTGTTGCTCCCCGATCTCTTGTGTTTTTCCTCTCCTCCCCTTGTTGTGAGAGAGCACACCTGCTTGATTTTGGCTGAACACGTCCTGATTTCAACAACCCCACAGGCCCTGTCAGCCTCTTCTTGGTCTCATCCCCCCATTTGACTGGATTTTGGAAGTCAAGCTCCTCTCGTCGGCTTCCAGTCGTCTCGCCTGGCTTCTCCTGAAACAGGTAGGGTTCTCTTTAATCTGATGGAAGTTTGGATCGATGTTAACAACTCTTAAAGACTTGAGACCATGTCCTTAGATTTTTTTCTCTCCACAAATGGGTCAACAGATAAAACTCCATGTGTGCTAAAGCTGATTTAAAACACACTTTTCCATGGAATATATTCCTTGCGTTGTGATGTTCCGAACATGTGGTTCTGCTTCCACTCCACATTTGAATTTGTGACAAGGAGCTTAAATCAGTCCAATCTGCACACAGCTGAGGGAAAGGAGCAGTGGCTCTGAAGGGGGTGTGGTGGAGCTGCTCAGGCTGGCACCTCGGGTCTCTGCCAGGAACTTCAGTCTTTTGGTCCTTCAAAAGTTTCCAAAGCATCTACTGTAGTGTTGAGATTGTGCATTTAGCCATATGTTTTAGAAGCTGGAGCACATTTGTTTGTTCAGGGGAAGTGGTGGAACAGTTGTTTATTTAGATGTAACCCAAATGTGCATTCTTCAAACTGTGTTTAATGCATGCGTCAGCTTTAGGACTCTTAACTGAACCAGGAAACACTTTTTCTCTCCCTGTGAGCAGGACGGCTATGGGCTGATTCACCCCGTCACAGCAGCTCGGGACTTTGAATGGAAACGTTGGTTCTGTTCCTGTTCCAGTAAAGCATGAGTGTTCCTCCTGCCCCTCCTCGGTCCGCCGGGACTTTTGCTGCTGTGCTTTATGCAGAAGCAGACCCAAATTGCTAAGGGCAACGTTAAGTAAGGGGCTTTGATGAGGAGATGAATGAAGGTTTTACCTGGAAACACACACAATGCCATTAATCCTGTAATGGTGCAGCTTCCTCTGTCAACAGAGAAGTCTGAAGGCTTCGCGGCAAGCCGCCACACAGCTCTGAGGTAACTCATTACGTCCCAACAAGGGGAAAAAATCCTAATTTGACTCAGCTGCACTGAAAGAAGGGATGTAAAACTGAAAAGGGAGAAAACAGAGCAACAAAACAACACTTTGATAGAAAAGAGGCTAAGAAAGGCACATAGATGGGACTTAAAATACACCCAGAGCAAAAAAAGAATTTGGATTTTTAAAATGAGCTGAGGTTTGAAACAGAAACTGAAGCCTGGAGGAGAAAAAGTGGGGGATGCATTCTCAGAATCAAAAACCAGTGGGATCAAGTCGACACCACCCATCGGGGGTTTTGTTTTCTCTTAACCTTGCTCAGTGAAATCCTGAGTTAAAGACTTAGGGCTCAGGATGAAATGGAAAGAGAAGAAAGGACGGGAAGATTGGGAGCTTGATCCAGATCTGTGCAGACTGATAATGAGACTGATGGCAGGCCAACAGCTGAACTGACTCACTGGCTTCCTCATCACATGGCTGCTAACACAAGGAACATTTTAAATCCCCAAAATGATCCTTCAATTACAGCTTTACTCATTCTTCTATACAAAGAATTCACATTATTGTGCAAAATAAACAACCAAAGATCAGGCTGAGTTATTGATTTCCAAGAGGCTTTTGGCAACAAGTGTTGGCCGTCTCTGAGGGGAACTTTAAAAACGATGACCTCGGACTCCTGAGACAACAGCTAATGTGAGGGCTTTTTCCTCCATAATTGATTACATGTTTATTTAACCACGTGGGGAGGAAGCTTAAGCTTTATATGCTGATGGGTTGAAAAGGCCACACATGTTTTAAATGTCCTGTGGCCTTGTAAATACCTTCCAGTGATTAACTGCCAGCAGACGCGCTGCAGAGGCAGACGCTGGCCCGCGGGGAGCTGGAGGAAAAGGTGGAGCCTGGTCGTTGAAATGCTTTGTGTTGTTTGGATGTGCAAAAATGAATGAAGCCTCATACTCGCCTTTGCTGCTTTCATGCATCATCAGTTGGGTTCATCTCTGTCTGCTGGCCCCTCAGAGCCAGAACCCTCTCAATGAACGGCAGCAGCAAGGAAAAGAGAGTGACAACGCAAAGAAGGGAGAATTACCTTGCTCCCTTTTGAAAGCTCCACTTCCTGTCTGGGAATCATTAGTAACGCCACGGCCAGACTGTTGGGGGACGGACGAGAGGAGCAAGACAAAGGGAGAAGATGGAGAGCTGAGGAGGATGCTGTTGCAACAGGAAACGTACTCCTCCACCCCTTTTCTCCCAGTCAGACATGAAAAGAATGAATGATGAATCTCAGCTGAAACAGGAGTAAAATAGTAAAATCTTCTTTTTGAGGAAAAAATTGTTAAAAAGCCACAACAAGAAGAAAAATACGTTTATTTGGGTCTGCTCCTGCTAGTTTTCTAAAAATTCAACCTAATTTTTAGTATTCAGTCATGATGCAAGTTATTCTAGAGTCCATACAAACCAAATGTAACAAGAAATTTACAGTTTTTTTATCACGAAAACCTTTCATGACCTTTCTTCTCATCAAAATCACACATTTATGAAAATAATTTAGAAGTTTGCTCGATATTTTCAACAAATCTTCTACTTAACAGCTGAATATCCAATAAAAACCCAAAATTTCAGATAGTAAAAGTTAGGTCTCGCTCAGTATTTGCTTGCATAGTATGGGGATTTCTATAAAGACACTGACACAGGTCAGCGACTCGATGCATTCTGCTGGGTTTCCTTACAGAGGAAACATTTTACTTATTGGCACAATGAACTGAACTCAGTTGGACTGCATGCACAGGGAAAACATGGGATTTGGACCAGAGACCTTCTCAATGCAAGGAAACACTGACTGTCCGGACATTTCATGAACTAATAAATGATATTGTCTCAGATTTCTAAACCACATTTATAAAAAAAAGGGCTGCAAAATATTTTATATATTGATAATAAAATATGCTCAAAAGGTTGCATCTTTTTGAATTAAGAAAAAGGCTGATTCTGATTCAAAACTAAATGTTGCTCAGTCCAGTCATGCTGCTACCTGTTGTGTTGACAGGACTCTGAGCTGAACACACAAGTGTGTTGTTGGATGAGCCGGTGCGCCAGGTTTTAAGTGTGTCACAGAGGAAGGAAAGGGGAGATCTGGCCTTCATCTTGCAAGTGTAGTGGATGGATCTGAGCTGACTGGTAATGACAGGACTGATACCAGGTGCACAGCAGGTTGGCTCTGCATTCATCCCAGGTGAAAATGCCTCAAAAGCTGTGGATTTGAACCATTTTGTTCACACGTTTGGAATCCAAAGTGGCCTTCGGGCTTGCAGAAACTCCTTGCATGAGAACTGGTGATTATATAAAAAAGCCAAAATAGAGTTTATCTAATTCATCCATCCATCCATTTTCATCCGCTTATCCAGAGTCAGGTCGCAGGGGCAGTAGTCTAAGGCGAGAGGCACAGACTTCGCTCTCCCCAGCCACTTGGGCCAGATCCTCTGGGGGAATCCCAAGGCGTTCCCTGGCCAGGTGAGAGACATAGTCCCTCTACCGTGTCCTGGGTCTACCTTTAGGTCTCCTCACGGTTGGACCTGCTCGGAAAACCTCACCAGGGAGGCGTCCAGGAGGCATCCTGACCAGATGCCCGAGCCACCTCAATTGGCTCCTCTCGATGTGGAGGAGCAGCGAGTGTAGTCCGAGCCCCTCCCGAATGACAGAGCTTCTCACCCTATCTCTAAGGGAGAGCCCAGCCACTCTTCGGAGAAAATTCATTTCGGCCGCTTGTATCCGCGATCTCGTTCTTTCGGTCGCTACCCAAAGCTCGTGACCATAGATGAGGGTAGAAACGTAGATCGACCAGTAAATCGAGAGCTTCACCTTCTGACTCAGCTCTCTCTTCACCACGACAGACCGGTACAACGCCCGCATCACTGCAGATGCAGCACCAATCCGCCTATCGATCTCACGCTCCAGTTTTCCCTCACTCGTGAACAAGACCCCGAGATACTTAAACTCCTCCACTTGGGGCAGGACCTCATCCCTGACCTGGAGAAGGCATTCTACCCTTTTCCGAATCGAGACCATATTCTCAGATTTAGAGGAGCTGATTCTCATCCCAGCTGCTTCACACTCGGCTGTGAACCGCTCCAGCGAAAGCTGAAGATCACGTTCTGATGAAGCCAACAGAACCACATCATCTGCAAAATCAGAGACCTGATCCTCAGGCCACCAAAACGGATGCCCTCCACACCTTGGCTGCGCCTAGAAATCCTGTTCATAAAAGTTATGAACAGAATCGGTGACAAAGGGCAGCCTTGGCGGAGGCCAACTCTCACTGGGAACGAGCCCGACTTACTGCCGGCAATGTGGACCAAGCTCTGACACCGGTCATACAGGGACCTAACAGCTCATATCAGAGGGCCTGGTACCCCATACTCCCGGAGTACCCCGCACAGGGCCCCCCAAAGGACGCTGTCAAACGCCTTCTCCAAATCCACAAAACACATGTAGACTGGTTGGGCAAATTCCCACGCATCCTCCAGGATCCCCCTAAGGGTATAGAGCTGGTCCAGTGTTCCACGGCCGGCACAAAAACCACATTGCTCCTCCTGAATCTGAGGTTCAAGACGTCTGGATATTCATGGTGTCGGTGTCAGGTTTTCTGCTTTTTGGCCTGAGTGGTTACCTGGCTTACCGGAAAATTGATGAGCTGTCGAGGAATATTGGCTCAATCCTGGAGCTCAGGGATTGATTACACCGCCCTGTGAATGCAAAAACTCATGTAATTGTCGAGATGAGTCGTAAGTTTGGAACTTTGGCTGAAATTCAGACTCTGGCACAGAAGGTTGATGCCATTAAGGATGCAGTTGATGGATCAGCACGGATTGGGATAGATTAATTATGTCATTATTGGATTTAGAGGGGTTGAGGACCAACGGAACTTTTAGACAGAGAGGAAATTATCTCTGTCTGGCCGCAAAACAAGGTCTTATCTGAATCTGGTGCCCTTGAGGCTGTGAGGCTGAAGTGAATACTCCCCCCTCAGAAGAAATGTGGAATGCTGCAGTCGCCATGGCAACTCTGTCTCCCTATCCCAGCCTGGGTGGGACTGCGACCGGTGAAGGCCGTTGAATCGTTTC